TATTACTGGAGTTTTTTCCCAACACCAAATCGTTATTTTTAACACCTCGACACGTGTTTCGATCACCAAGTGATCATCTTAAAACTTCCAGTTTTAATCTTCCTCTTTGAAGATGATCACTTGGTGATCGAAACACGTGTCGAGGTGTTAAAAATAACGATTTGGTGTCGCGAAAAAACTCCAGTAATATTTTTATACCTATATTGATTTAAAATTGTTGAAATTTGTGAGTCTGACGTTTCTCATAATGTATATTTGTGTTGTATCGTAACATTCAGAGGAAAATAAAATATCTATCTAAATGACAATGTGGGTTACTATTAATTCAGGAGGTGAGAGTTGAGTGCTGTATTTTTTTTGGTAGGGATCTATTACTTATGTATCATTCAAAGACAAAGAAAATACTGATATGGCTTTGTACTTTCAGGAAATAATCATAGATAATATTATGAGAAACGATGATATTAGAAAAATGTTCTACATGATTAGTTTTGGTTATACTCGTGTCTTTTCCCAATATTTGCATGAAAATAACCTGGCTTCAATTATTTTTAGTTGATATTATCAGCGTCAAAAACCAAGATTCCAGTGAAGCAATTTTTCACATACACCCAGTTGCGGATCTGATGGGGAGGGGGCACGGGCACAGGGGCATGTGAAAAAAAATTTATGATTGGAAAAAAAGTCAGACCGGTATAGATTGATAAAACCTAATATATAAATGAGCTCAACTGTTTTTATACGTTACGGAATAATAAATTAATTTATAATTTGACTTACTCCGCCCAACTTCACTCTTGTAACTAGTCACCGTACATAAGTAAACACTGTCCTCGAAGCCATTGCTAGTTCACCAGAATTAGAGGAAGTAATGCATTTGCTTTTCTGCACTCTATTCTGTCGGCAGAGTTTTTAATTAGTGTAGTAGTGTTGGCTGAGGTACTTGGAATAGCTTTATCCTTAGCTCACATACTCCAATCAGAATACATGTGTATGCTGTAAGCTTCACCGCTTGTAGAAGCTACAATACAGAGCATACAAGAAAAACGAGACAATAACTCCGGCACCTTCAAGGAGCTTTATAACTAGGCGGCTGATTTGGCGAAATAAATGGATATAGTAATTCAAATGCCTAGGACAACAGCTTGACAAAAAAAAAGATCTAATACACAGACTCACCCGGGGTCTATTATCGCATGTGAGTGTACATCCCGTTTCGTGATTTCATTATAAATAAACTAACGGCATGGTTCTCCAAAAAAGTATATAAATGACATTGTTCAAGGGGCAATCAAATGCAAAGAACATTTGCCATGCTCATCGACTTTGAAAGGTGAGTTGCAAATTTGGAAACAAATGTGGAAATCAAATCTCGAAAATAAGTTGTCTAAACACTCAACGCAAACTTACAAGTTTGCCGATCCTCTCCCAAACGTCAGGATATTACAGCAGCTGTTGTGCACTCTTCTTGTGACCAGTGACGGCTCGTGCTTCGGAGAACAGGGGAGGCTAAAGTCATAAAGACTATATACACACAAAAAAGCCGGCCGCATAAATGCAAACAAAAATTGTGTATTACCGAAAATTATACGTATAAAACTGACCATTAAAAAACAAAAACAAGAAAAAANGATCGAAACACGTGTCGAGGTGTTGAAAATAACGATTTGGTGTTGGGAAAAAACTCCAGTAATATTCATTACTACACCAAAGGTTCCAAACAGTACATCATGGATATTCAGCACACCACGCTTTTTTACAACTTAATTAATTTTTTTGTGAATATATTTATTCTGATTTCAGACTTATAAAATATCATTAGTCACATCAAGCCATAGGACTAATTGTCGATGTTGAACACAATCTTAAGTTAGTTTCGAATTATTTTTAAGTTTGTGTTGATATTAAAGCATGTTTTTTTAGTTTTTCTGACTGTTTTATATTTTCTACTTTCCAGTTTGGCTATTTTGAACCCATTTGTTTTAATAAAAAATATATACGCATGCGCAGACAGTATGGTTGTCTCACTTGCTATGACATATTTAATCCTAGCGATCCTGATCAGGATGATGATGTAATGAAATTACTGTTTATATTATAAAAATATTATGTTCGACCAATAATAAATTGGATTGATAAAAAGTCATTATAATATACTTTTAATACATTATGCTTGTACCTGAATAACTTTTCACTCAATTGTAATGATGGCGAGGGTTATTTTCAATATACTTACATATTTTTCTTATTGTTAGTTGTAACACAATATTCAAAACTAAGCAATGGTTTTGACTTTTTTTTCAAATGTTTGTTTCCGAATGCATACTAATGAACCTCCTCCAAGGACTCAGTGCTTTATGGAGGGGTTATATACCCTATACTCTGAGTTGTAAACTGCCCCCTCTCTAAAATAATTTTCTGGATCCGCAACTGCAAACACCAGAGCTGCAATAAAAATTCTAAATTTATTCAATGTTTAAATTGAAGCAATTTTTGTAGAAAAAGTCATTGGTACATGACAAAACAAATTTCTCTAATGCATTTGAGATATTCACAAAGTTTGTTAATCTAGTCAGAATGTTTTCTACCATATTAATTCATTCTGATATTCCTTTTTTCGAAGCAAGGATATCAATGACTCTGAAATTTTCAGCTGATTTTTTACACGTTTCAATAATTTTTTCTCCAGGTGTAAATCTCCTTTACTGGCTTTCTCCATTTTGATAAACTATACAGAAAAACAATGGCATTTCATAGCGAAGGATGAGTGCACGGCATGTTATTGGATAGATGCTTTTCATATACTGACAGGTAAGAAGCAGATCAAAATGCTAATTTCGTAAATGTTATCATTCATTCTTTATTTGTCCACCGAGTTATTTTTTCTTTCATTATTTAGGCAACCCTAAAAGAAGTAACCGCTACAAGAAAGAGTTGGAAGAACTGGTGGAAATGGACTTGAGACTGAAGATTATTGAATTACAAAATATTTCAATTCCAAAGAATCCTCCACCCTTGCCACCTCTTCCTAAACCTCTTGTTCCACCCAAACCTCCAGCTTTATCTGAACATCTAAAGAAAAAGATGGCAAGATGAGTATGTTCAAATAACCAGTGTATTCATGACATGGGAAAGAAGTTTGTAAAAACAAGTTGTAAACTATGAAATATATCAATAAAAATAATTTGAGAATGGGTAATTTCCATCAGGAGGAGGAGGAGGATCAGGAGGATAAAACATATCTTTATTAATCCGTTTCTCCACCTCTGATTCGAACTCAAAATGTTTTTGATTATAAAAGGGGAGCTAATGATGCTAAATATAAATGTTAAATGGTCGTACAGAGTAGAGACCTATTTGATTTTTCAGATCCACTGGTGCGGGAAGTGTCTATAGGTGGTGGCAGTGCCTGCAGTTGCTTTATACCTGACAGATTCTTGCAAATTTTCTCAAAGAGACCATCTTTGTACTTAAAACACCAAGTGTAAAGATGGGCAACACTTGTTTGCCGAAAGCAGGAAACAACACATACGCACGGAGTCAACAACAGAAGCCAACCGCACATTTGTGGTTATATAGAACTTTCTCGCGAAAAATAGACTTGTGAAAATAAATAAGTGTTTCGGGCTCGATTAAAATAAGTGGATATATTCAGTTTTGTGGAAAATAAACAATAAGAGACAAAATGTGTCAGGAGAAGATCTTGAAACATATTTATTCAAAGTTTCTGGGGGTGATTTGTTGAGTTCTATAATGAGCAAACTCGATGAGAATACCAAATCGCAGAAAGATGAATGAGGGGAAGCTTCTGGAAAATTCGAAGAGTTTGGAGGACAAACTTCTAGAAAATGCAGAAAACTTAAAGAAAACTTCGTTTTGTGGTAAGTCTACTCGAAAAAAGGATGGGAACCATCGAGACAGAGATAGACAAAATCAGGAAGGAAATGACCACGGAAGTAGAGGGAAGCAAAGGCGGAGTTCAGGCAGAAATCGGCAAGATGAAGGAAACAATTAGTAAGTTGCAAAACCAAATCGTTAATTCTGCTCACACCATGGAATCTCTTACCGAAAACTCAATTTCCGAACTGAAAGATATTAAAGGCAGTTCTGAACCAGGAAAGCTCCCCATGAAGCCGCCCCAGTTCGACGGAAAAACTCCTTAGGCAAATTACCGCCGACAATTCGAAACTGCGGCCAGAGCGAATGGATGGAATGCAGGAGAAAAGGCGGTAGCATTAACATTGGCGTTGCGTGGAGAAGCAACGAATATTTGGCAAACCCTCGCGGCCCAAGAACAGGAAGACTATGACCAACTTATAAAACATCTTGAGCTACGGTATGGACAGGCACACCTAGACGACGTTTACCATTCACAGCTGAAGAACCGCTGTAATGTAATGGAGCGGTTAGCAGTTCAGACATTCTTGGACGGACTTCGCGACCAAGAAACGAGGCAGGCCTTGGCACTAGCTCATCCCAAACATCTCGTGGATGCACCGGCAAGCGCTCTGGAATTTGAGGCTGCAAAGCAATCCTGCAAGAGCCAGAGCAATGTTCGAGCTATCGAGGAAGATGGACAAGCGCCTGCTGATATTGAGTCCACAATCAGTAAAGTAATGAAGGAAGTGTTGAAAACAAATAAGATGTTGGAACTGTGGGAAAATTGGGCATGTGCGTAACAAATGTCCAGCATTCAAGAAGTCGAAAAGAGCGTTGATCAACGCTCCTGTTTTGAGCTATCCTCTACCTGACCGAAATTTCATTTTGGATACGGGCGCCAGCAACGTGGGACTTGGAGCAGTTCTTTCTCAAATCCACGATGGACAAGAGAAAGTTATTGGCTACTTCAGCAAAACGCTCAGTAAACCAAAGCACAATTATTGTGTCATCAGGCGAGAGCTGTTGACCGTTGTCAAAGGTGTAGAGCATGTCTACAAATACGTGTATGGAAGAAGATTTCTGTTGAGAACGGACCATGCCGCTCTCAAATGGCTTCTGCAGTTGAAAAATCCAAAGGGCCAAATAGCGCGCTGAATTGAGAGACTTCAAGAATTTGACTTCGAAATAGAACATCGAGCTGGGACTAGCCATAAAAACGCAGATGCCCTGTCACGGAGACCATGCCCCGATGACTGCTCACATTGTCGATGAGCAGAAGAGAAGGAAGCAGCTATTTGTAGAACTAGAGCTGTAGACGACAACTGGGAGGACAATAAGATCAAGGAAGCCCAAGAGAAAGACTCAGATCTTGGTTTAGTCATCGGATGGAAGAAAAGTAATCAAAGACCATCGTGGCAGGAGGTAGCAGGTTACTCGCCGGCTGGTGCAGAAAATGTGCTGTATGTGATGTCAGTAACGGACCTCGGATACGACCGAAAGCTCCAATACGCCAGTACAACGTGGGTAGTCCCTTTGAGAGAATCGTCATCGACATCGCCGGCCCGTTTCCAGAGTCCAACCATGGGAACAAATACATCCTGGTAGCCATGGACTACCTCAGTAAATGGGCAGAAGCCTATGCCCTGCCCAACCAGAAAGCCTTTACCGTCGCTGACGTCCTGGCAAAGGAAGGGATATGTCGATTCGGTGTCCCATTGGAGCTGCATTCGGCCAAGGCAGAAATTTTGAGTGCAACTTGTTCCAACTTGTAAACTGTTAGACAATCGAAAGACCAGAACCACAGCCTTACATCCACAGTCCGATGGATTGGTGGAACAAATGAATAAGACCATAAACCGCCAGTTGTCCAAGGTAGTCTCTGACCATCAAAGAGACTGGGACCAATACCTCCACCTGTTCCTGCTGGCTTATCGTTCGGCAGTGCACGAGTCAACCGGCCAAACCCCTGCCAGTATTATAATGGGATGAGAGCTGCGGCTTCCTTGCGACCTAAAATTTGGGATGCCTCCAGAACAAGACACTGCGGGGGAAGACTATGTCAGCAAGCTTCGGCAGAGAATGGACGACATTCATGAACGAGTCCGTCTGAACATCCGGAGTGCCAG